TCCTGCGACTGTCAAGAAGATGCTGTGAGACCGCCTGTATCCAAGACACCACTTGGATCGTTTTCTACCGAGAACTGGTTTTCTGCAGTTTTTTGCTCTTCCAGCTCTTGAACTGTGTATCACGACTGCAATTTTATCCAAAATGTGTTGCAAAATCTATGTATTTGCCTCTATCAGCAAAAACCCCATAACCTCAAACGAGATGTTTTTTGTGAGAGCTACCTTCCCCAAAATCTATGTATCTGACTTTATCAGCAAAAAATCCATAACCTCAAATGAGATGTTTTTTACCTTCCCCAAATCCCTGCTGCCATGACTGCTCCTGGGCTTCTTCTGAGTGAAGCCTCCATTGGCTCTTCCCATGCTCTGTTCAGATGCTGACAAGGTTCACTGGTACCTATGTCACTCACGCTGATTTTGTAGCCGCTCTCTTTACACAGGCTGCTACTTGGATTAATGCTCTTATCATTTTTTCCCACTCAGCTGGGTGTAAATATGCTACAACCAAGCACATCATAAATTTACCAATTAAAAATGCCCCATGTGCTGCTGGTGCTGGATGATAAGCGGGCGCGTATGGGTATGCAGGGTGATGACCTTCAGCTCCGTGGATTGCAGACAGGAATTCGGATTTCAGCAGCATAAAACTCCTCCCAGGGGCAGTCACCAGCCACAGCCGACAGCTCCGGGTTGTGTCCTAAACATCCACAGGATCCCCAAAGGTTCACAGAATCACAGAATATCAGGAGTTGGAAGGGACCTCAAAACCTCATCCAGTCCAACCCCTGCCAGAGCAGGATCACCAGACCAGGTCACACAGGAACGTGTCCAGGTGGGTTTTGAATGTCTGCAGAGAAGGAGACTCCACAACCTCTCTGGGCAGCCTGGGCCATGCTCTGGCACCCTCACAGTAAAGAAGTTTTTCCTCATGTTCACAGGGAACCTCCTGTGCTCCAGCTTGCGAGGTTGGGACCAGGTTGAGAACCTTTGGAGCGATGCTCACAATGAAACCTGTCACAGCAGGGCTTTCCTTGCACACAAAGACATGAAGAGTGGATTTTTGGTTTAAATCCTG